TGCTATAAATGATATATTTAACGTTCAAGACATTTTTTTTCCATACAGATTTTGTCACTGAATGTATAAGTGCCTAATACTTGAATGATAGAATTATAGTGACTATTTTTTAATGACAAATATTATGTAACTAAGTAGACCTTTCAGTTTTGGTGCCTACTGGTTAAATTAGGGTGTTTTTTCATTGGTCCTTGCAGGTCATCTCTGTACATCATACGATATATGGTGATGGTTTATTGATGGACTTAAGGATATATCTGACGAATTATTAATTTATCGCCTTTCGCTGGTTTACCATGGCTTGACTTTCTCTTATGAAGGCCACGAAATATCCATGAGGTTAAACTTGCACAGGAGTTTGGCACAGACAGGCTATTGTGTGTGTAGTTTTGGGCTTGACAGATAACCAATATATTTTAGGTAAAAAGCGTTATAAGCTTATACATCAGTTACAAAACAAAAACCTTTGTGTGTTTTTTAACACATTTCATTTCATGGGCTCAAAGTAACCTTGATATTTAATTTTTTGGAAAACCAACATCTTGTAGACGTTTATAAGTTTAATCATGTACAAATGATCATTTTTTTTAATACTCCCTAATGCGTTGTTAACTTTTGATTTAATTAGGAGGGAAACAACGTTTTGGTCGGTTAATTAACTGAAGCATATGAAACAATATTCATTCCACCAGGGGGCTCTCTGTACAGTTCGCGTTTCTACCTAGTGTTTTAATGTAAACAAACACACATACTGTCCTTTATTATTTGATTGTTTGTAGTGAAACACAAAGCTACACAATGGGCTATTTGTGCTGTCCCCACCACGGGTATCGAAGCCCGATTTACCGCTGATCCACTGAGGGGGGGGGGGGGGCATACTTTAGTATAAAGAACTGTTTGGATAAATAGAAATATGGATGTATTTTATATTTGGTGTTAATGACAGTCAGATTCAACTGACTGTTTGTAATTAAGCACAAAGCAACACGTTGGGTTATCTGTGCTCTGCCCACTACGGGTATCGAAACCAGGTTTCTAGCGTTGTAAGTCCGTAGACAAACCACTGTGCCACTGGGGGGTTAGACTCACAGATGCGAGACGTGTGCACATTTGGAGAGTGACCTTAACCAGATCCAACTTCAGTTTTACGGATGAATGAACAACAATACGGTACACTGGTCTGAGCACGGGGTGAACATTTGTCTGCACGAGTGATTTTCTGTTTAATCTATTTATTCCTACATTTGTCCTTACCGGGGTATCACAGACTATTAACAGCGCTCCTTGGTTTTGGAATTACAAAATATGGAAATATTAAAGACACGTTCAGACATATAAAACTTACCTCGAACAGTAAGCATTCTGCTGCCAAGAAACACGTAACGTCCGTCTGGATTTCTACAAATTTATGAGTTTTTAGCGCCAAAATAATACGAACTCGACAGCAACTAAAGTCATCCTATCTCGTTTCTCGCTCTGTGTTGACGGCCCAAAATCCACGTGCTAACAAGCGCGAGTTTCCAGTTTTCTAAATTACTTCCTGTTTTGCTAGAAGCACGTGCGTGTTGTTGCTTCACTTGATGTTTCTTACACTGTCTCGATTGGTCGGAAACTCAAGCAAATTGTACACGTACTTAGTATTGGCGGAAAATAAAACTAACTAGATAGCATCCACATTAAAGCTTATTTCAGAGCTTTTCCTAAGGATTATTTCAACTACACAATTATATTATAACTTCATCATTATTTAATACATGACGCCATATTGCATCTTATATATATATATAT